AGCATCATCAATAATTTCGAAGTCCAATTCGCTCCCACCAACTGCTGTCACTTCTGCTTCTACTTTGTGTTGCACGGATACATTCAATTCATGCCAATTCTTTGATACAAATGGCAAATTTTCGACATCAGAGGATAAAGATTCCTCACTTTTACTCTTCTCTTCATAGGCTATACGTTTCAACTCCTTTTCATCAGTTTTACGCTCCAGTATTGAAGGTGATGTAGATTTCATAAATTTTTTGCTTTTATTTCTCGACAAAGTTGTTCCAGTGCGAAATCATTGGATTCTTTTGAAGCCAGCTCTTCATCAGGAACTTCCAAACCTATTAAAGTGTTCTCTTCATGAGATAAAGCCAGCTTCTCACTTATTTGCCATAAGTGAGCACAATGCTGCTTCCGCACGTTTGCCTGCAGCTTTTTTTTTCCAATTCAGTACTTGTTAACACCATCGATTTCGCAGCGTCATTGTATTTTCCAGGAATTCCTTCAAATTATCTTGAATCATCAGCTTGGTTTCTTGCAACACCTCTTTCCATCTCAAAGGCAAATGATCCTTTTGTGCAAAGGTGACTAACTGCTCAATCCACAGCAATTTATGGCGTAGAATCTGGAACTCAGACAGCAGAAACAACTGGCTGAGATAGTCGATTTGGTAGACATGCGAAATAATTAGCACCCCTCAAACAACGAAGCAAAACGTTGTTTTTGGCAATACTCAGCCCCGATTCCTTGGTTGTGAAGACCCAAACGCCCTCTCCAAAACAGGTCTTCATTTTCCTTTCGCAAACTGTCCTCACATACAGCAGCAACAACATTTCCCACTGTCTAATCCTTTTCTGGATCATCCGACATCTTCTAGCTTTTCTTCGTGCTGACTCCTTGTTCTTCTTAGAAACATTTTGCCTTTTCCTTCCAGTCGATCTGTTTTCGGTGCTGTTGACATCAGCTAAATCCATTTTTTCCCTCTTCATAGCTTATACGTTTCAAAACTTCACCAATTTTACGCTCCAGTTTAAGGATAATGTAGATTTCACAAATTTTTTCCTTTTGTTCTTTGACCATGTTGTTTGAAAGCAAGATCATCGGGTTCCTGTGGGGCCAACTTCTCGCTTGTGTTTCCCGTCGGTGATATCGGTGAGAATGATTTCTGTATTCTCCAGAGTTCCTTCAATCTGTTTTAAATATTCGTCTCTGGTTCCTTATAGCGCCCTCTATAAGAGGCCCTATCGACTGCAGTCCTTTGTTATCAGCTGACATACTTTTTTGGATTTCCATAACATCAAATGCTGGTGAATCTCGACTAGTAACATCAAATGCTGGTGAATCTTGACTATCTTCCACTTCCGGCAATCTTCGAACATCAGCTAGCAGCAGCGGCAACAACAATTTGAGGCCGCTTCAAAATCTTCTGCCTTTACCACACTGTCTATTTTTAGTACTGCTTTTGACGACCTGGAATCAGTGGTTCCTTCGTCCTCGTTAATGAGGTCTTTGAAACATTTTAAGGAGCACAAAATGTAAC